GGCCTCTTTTTCCATATTTTGAAGGTGGTGAAGTTTACGGTGATTAGGTTTAATGAATTTTTACCTGTGACATCATCCTAGATTTTTCAAACCAACAATTTAAACTGTTTTCACATTTTAACTGTACATACATTTTTATCTGTGTATACACATACACATTTTAATAGAAGTTTAAACTACTATACATACTCCAACGACATCACACAATTAAGAAAAATGATGCTGGAAATATAAGCTACCCACCCAACCAATTGTAATAACAATCAAAATCTGATGACTTGAAATCTATTGACATTTCTGGTTGATACTTTTCTCCAGCTCGTAAAACAAAGAAGCAAATTCAAATAATAATGAAAGATACAGACAGACATTACCAAAATCATTGACCGCCAATAAATATAAGAGATTTAAAAAAAGATTCATAAGTGGAAGTGCTACTCAGAACAGAGTTATCAAATTACAGCTGGTCCCTCTTATTCGAGGATACCCGTCTACTAGGGCGGATAGCCAATCCCTATTGCAGACACTTGCTCAGGCGCATTTATGTTTATTCAACACCCACAGAGCCCACCTGTGGTTTATACTGCAACTATTCTGAGCAGACTTTGGTTACAGTTTCTGGTAGAGAGCTTGTTATCCAGCGTGATGGACAATTTGAACAAGGCCAGCACGCTCAAGCCCTCGGCCACGATAAGTTGTGACTTCGTGGTAGCACCAGATATTTTATAGAATGCTGAAAAATCAATAGAATTCTGAAAATGCCGAAATAATTATAGAGAATTCTGAAAATTCTATAGAATACTGAAAAAGTAAACACTAGAGAATCTTCTTCTATGTGCTATATCCCATCAGGACGTGGGAGATCATGGTTCTCCACCATTTTCTGTCTGTTGTAACTTGTGATTTCGTGCTAGCACAGCTATCGAGGCACCCAAGGGTTGGGTCCACCCGTGGTATGGTTTTCAGGCACTTTCCAAAGATGCCGCACGCTGGGATCGAGCTCCTTCCTGGCAAAACGATCGAGACTCATGGTCAGAATTGTAACGTTCTAAACACCAGGCCATGTACTCTTATCAAAGGAAAGAAAATATAAACCCTCTACATCACATAACATTAGAACTTGTGCAAATAGAATGCATATATTTACTACCGTACGTTAAACCAGGTCACGGGTGATTACGCGGTAAGGGTTTGTTGCCAACAGAAAACAAAAGAAAGTAATAATAATAATATGAAATGATCAGTGGAAAATGTCACGAGGTCATTTCTGACCTTATGTCTATAGTTGGGACCTAGAAGGAAATGTTCCTACATGCAAGCCGCTAGTGGTCCGCTGGCAGGCCACTGATAGCAACGGTGGGCTTCTAGCAGTTGCCGAGAGAAATACGCCAACGGCCCGATAGCGGGCCACCAGGGGTAAACGCTATTGACATGCCACCCAGTGGCAGATTGGTGGCTTGCGTGTAGGGTTGTATACAACAGGAAGCAAGGGAAATAATAATAATAATAATAATAATAATAATACCTGGTAGCCTATGCCTTAAAGAAAAACAAAACATTGTACTCACAAGTACAGCCTAGACCTTACGAAGGGATTTATCTTTGTAAAATATGTCCGATTTATTTTTTCAAAACTGCTCAGTGGAAAATGTCATGACGCCATTTGTGACCTTATGTCTCTGGTCGGGACTCGGAAAGAAATGAGTATACACCAGAAATAAAACAACAACAACAACAACAATAATAATATAAAATGATTCATTAAATCAAATGGAAAACGATTAAGCCACTATTCTCTGGGGATGTGTGGCTGGTGTTATAGATAGCGATTCGGAATGAGAACTCAGTGAGCTAAGTTTCGAGTTCCATTCAAATTTATTACATTCACTTATTTGCAAAAACCCTTGGAAAAGATGTGTATCAATCTCTTCTCCCTGTCACAGCTGGAGGCAAATTCGGCTCTCTGGAAGAACAACTCCGAATTCAAAACCGATAGTGATACCTTAAGCAAAATCTCTATTAGGTTTCGACCAATGAGATTTACCAAAAACAACTAATTGAATAAGAGTTGTGCAAGAATCCATTGAATGAATTATGTCACAGGAAGAAGAGGAATGACAATCTAAACTGATAAAGAGATTATAACCAACAGACCTGATATAGCAGTGAAGGTCAACAAGGAATGAACTTGTATGCTCGTGCCAGAAAGAAAGACCTCTGTGAAAACTACAGAACATTACTCTAAATATAAAGCTCTAAAAATCTTCTTTGGTACATAGACATTATGAATTTAAGCGCAGTACTAGATTGGCAGAAAGGTCTCATCATTTTACAATTAAAATGGCTAGATGTAACTGTAAATTTTATACTAACTGTTTCTTCTCTCGCACTTCTCGTTATAGAATCCTGTTCCAGATTATTGTTTTCCATTCAAGTTTGATCATCAAAAATTTAAATGCACTATCAGTCGTTATGTTTTTTTTATTGTTCACTGTTCTTAGCATTATTTTCGTTTTCTCATATTTTCCCCATTCGTTAACCCTTTGCGTCTTAGTGGCTTTATTGCCTTTCTCTTGATGAAAAGATAAAAAACCTGTAAACTGTTATCTTCTGTTGGTCTGATTGTTTCAATCGATATCACCTTTCTTTAAATGAAAAATCAACATCTCGTAAGGTTAGTGGTAATTCATTTTACTTAGTCTCTGATCTTTTGAAGTCTGCATTGTTGTAAACTATCCATTATTCATTGTTCTTCCTAATTTCTTCCCCCAAATTCTTTTCATTGATCTTAAGTAATGAAATGATTAAAAAACAGAAATCGAGAAAATGTTTTGCATGAAGACCACAACGATATCAGTAATCGTAAGTTTTCACGGCCAAGGAAGGGATGAAAAATACATCAACACAATCCCTGGAAAAATTTAGAAAAAAGAAGTCCAGGAGGCCGATACTGTCCACATATTAAGAAGTATTCTATCCATCAAATAAGCCAACCACGCCCTCGTGGAAGCCCCAAGTCTAACCCTAACCCTAACCCTAACCCTAACCCTGCCTAAGAGGCCATTAAGGAGAAACAACTAATAATAAAATAAATTATAGAATTATAAGTGTTAATAATAATAATAATAATAATAATAACAATAATAATAATAAAAAACTTTAAAGTTAGAAACATTATTCAAAAGTACAAACGTTAAGATCGTAACTAAATTTCAGATAAATTATTAAGTTAAAGATACAAGGAAGAGAACAAGGAATACGAAGATAGGGAAAAAATTAAAAAAATCTACAAGTAAAGACCACTTTTAAAACTTTCTAAGATATCTTATATATGTATATATGTATAGTTGGCCACTCGTATTCGAGGAAACCTGTCTACTAGGGCGGCTAGCCAATCCCTATTGCAGAGGCTAGCTCAGGCGCATTTGTGTTTATTCAACACCCACAGAGCCTACATGTGGTTTATACAACAACTATGCTGAGTAGACCTTAGTTACAGTTTCTGGAAGAGAGCGTGTTACCTAGCGTGATCAACAATTTGAACAAGGTCAACACGATCAAGCCCTCGGCCACGATAAGTTGTGATATTTTATAGAATGCTGAAAAATCAATAGAGTTCTGAAAATTCCGAAATAATTATATAGAATTCTGAAAAATTCTATAGAATACTGAAAAAGTAAACATTAGAGAATCTTCTTCTATGTGCTATATCCCATCAGGACGTGGGCGATCATGGCTTTCCACCATTTTCTGTCAGTTGTAAGATTTTGCTCACTTAATCCCTTTTTGTCATCTATTTATACAACCGCTTAAGGTAAGTTAATCACTGCTTTTCGCTGCCTCCCTTGCCTTCAACCTGTGCTGTGAGTGTCAAATTTTTAAGCCTTCTTTCCTCATTATATACCCTAGAAAATTCACTTGTCTCTTTTACATTCAGAGTATGAGTGTCCTTTAAGTTTCAATTTCACCTAAAGCTTCTTAATTATTTTCATGTTCAATCCATGACATTCTCATCATCCTTCTGCAGAACAACCTTTGTATTGTTTCAAGTCTCTTCTTCATCTGTGAGGAGTTTACCCAGCGTTTACTGCTATATTGGCGGAAGGATATTATATGGGTTCAGTACTTTTTTCTCTGTTTTTAACGTAATTTTCCTGTTTCAGTGAAATATTTTATAAATTTCAACCGACAGTTGAACTGGCTGCTCGGTCAATCAATGCCGAGTTTTTCCTTATAAGGAAACGGCTAATATTATCATTAACATTTTGCTATTCCGATGTGCCATCAGTTTTCGGTGTCACATTTTCTGTCCACTGTTAAAATACTTCCTACATATTGAAATTTTCATACTTCCTTATTTACTTTTGAAGTTTTCTTTCAACAATTAGATATCAGTTTACCTATAAAGAAACAATGGGATTATTAATAAGAAGAGCTGAAATGAATGCATGCAAGATTTCACAGCTCTAGCATCACCCCTTCATAGGCAACCTAGGAACTTTTCAGTTCACCCTCGTATCTGGAAAGAAACAATGCTGTTATTAATAAGAAGAGTTGAAATGAATGCACGCAAGATTTCACAGCTGTAGCATAACTCCTTCATAGTCTCAGAAATTTTGTTGTTTTTGGGGAATTAACTAAATTTAGCTAGAATAAAGATGTTAAACTATAAAAAAACGGTGATGATCTAAATTCCCCTCTCTCTATTTCTCTCTCTCTCACTATATATATATATATATATATATATATGCGCGCATGTGTGGAAAAATGAACTCGTTGTATAATTAATGTGGATAAATGAATATTACGCTTTTCATATCTATTTAGCGAAGTCCGCAGAGTGGCGTAGATGATTGATGAAAATAACGCTCGATTTATTTTGCAAATGAATCTGCTGCAAGCGAATAAATTAAGTGTTTGATGGATGGGTAGATATTTTTCATCTTTGTCTCTCAAATTAGCCATTAATTTATTAAGCTATTAACACTGCAAAAAGGGACTTAAAAGAAAGAGCGCGTGTCAAAATAAAGAGAGAGGGAGAGAAAGAGAGAGAGGGAGAAAGAGAGAGAGAGAGAGGGGGGAGTGTAACGAAGTAAGAGGAAGACAACAAAGAAAGACCGAAAGAAGATGAAAGGGAGGATGACAGTGTATGAGAAATAGAGAAAGAAAGAAACAAAGAAAGAAAGTAAAATAAAAGGAGAGATTAATGTGAGGAAAGGAGAAGTAGGAGAATGGTTTATATTTATTCCTACTAATGTTCAGCCATCACAAGATGCAAGAGCCACTCAAGGTAGAAGGTTACTGAATAAGGCTTGTGATATGAAGTAAGAAGTAAAGATTATGAGAATATGAGGGATAGCAAACGATTGACAATTGGGTAGAAAAATTAGTGAAATAAACGTATTTGCATATGTGTCACCGACGCCAGTGATAGTGTACGAGCCTCGTTAATAATCTGGGATCTTGGTTCGTAATTTTCAAAGCAAGTAAGGCTTTGTAGCTTTCCAATCTTCAGTATGTATTTACTTGACCTTGTGCCATACGAGGTAAAGCTTGCTAAATAACGAGATGAAAAAGGGGTGACGAATAATGGGAGGAAAAGGGTAAAAGTCACGTGAAGGAGAGAAAAAAGAAATAGAGAAAGAAACGTTATCAATTTAGAAGCGGGAAGAGAGTGAAGGAAGATAAATAAATAATATAGAAGAAGAAGAAGAAGAAGAAGAAGAAGAAGAAGAAGAAGAAGAAGAAGGTTCACTGAATAGACGTATGTCTGTGATAGAGAGCTCCATTTCTGAAGTCTTGTGCCAGAAATATACAGAAAGAGAATATCTTTAACAAAAAACGGTTCGGCAAAAGATGCCCAAAACATGAAGATAAACATTAGCTTCATTATTACAACTTCTATAAACACATCATACCAGCAGATTTCATCAGCTTCTCCCGCAGGGTTTCCAACTAAGTGCATTTCTTGCACGATACATCAGTACCTTGGAGCCATAGTAGGTGGCAACTGGTACAAGTGCATGACCAGTTATCACGACTGTCAAATGCACTGTTATGTGAGAAGTGCATATTAAGCGGGACTCAAGCCATTATGTCCATTCGACCAGATATTATGTTGTTCGACCGGAAGAACCAGGCCCGCTTATTGACTGACATAGGCGTCGCATATGATAAGAACGTCATGCTGGTAGAAACTGCGTTGATCGGAAAACACACTGTCTTGGAAAATTAAATCACCAAGACATGGAACTGTAAGGCAAACATGTAACTTGTTCGTGTAGTGTAGAGATTGAAAAATCGTACTGAAAGCTTATTTTTACTACTTTACAACTGACACTACTAAAGTAGGTATCAACAAACACACAAACATACACGTACGTATAGGTGACGTTGGTTAATTCAATTGTACAGCAACACTTATCATGCAATTTAATACATAATATAAAACCTATAGAACAAAAAATTGAAATTAATTAATATAGGTCTAGTTTACACGAAAAAAAATGGTAGGCGTTGATCCGGTTTATACTCGAATCGAAAAGATAATGATATAGTCATTTTTATACTAGATTAAAAAGTGTAGGTACTGGACTGATTTATATTCTATATATAAAATTCTGTAACTTCTGTTAGTCCGTCCGTCAGTCAAACTCTGTAAAATAGCCATATATTGACTGATTGAAACCAAATTTTCGGGAGAAGTCCAAAGAGGTAAGGGGGTACATAGTACAGATGGTTTTACTGGGGTTCGTAGCTTAGTTTATCTATATAAAAAAATTGTGACTTCTGTCGCTAGCGACATCTTCAACAATACTAAATAATATGAGGATTTCACCACGCGTCAGCATGTTGCAAAAAGTTTAGTATATTAAAAAAGGAACGTATATGTTCGCTTTACATTGAAAAAGGGAGATGCAGGTTAGGTTTACAATTTAAACTAGAATAAAAAAAGGAAGGCATATGTCCAGTTTACAGTGAAGTAAAATAATCGACATATATCTAGTTTACACTACAGTTGAAATGGTAAACATTGTTCGGTTAACAGATTGGAAAAGGTAACCATAAGTTACACTAGAATAATAAAAAGTAAAACATTCGGTTTATAATAATCAAAAAGGTCAATTTTGGTCTGGCTTAGAATAGACAAAAAAAGTTAAACATTGGTCCAATTAACATGACAGTCAAGAAAGTAGGAGTAGGTCTGCATTAATCTAGATACAAAGACTTGGCCTTGGGCCTGGTTTACCGCAGCGTCAAAAAAGTAGACATATATCCAGTTCAAAGTCTTGTGAAGAAATGTAAACATAGGCCCGATTTGTACTAAAGCAAAAAAAGTAGGTATAAATCGTTTTTGCAGTACAGATCAAAGGGTAGGCATAAGTCTGTTTTACAACAGATCAAAAAAGGTAGACATAGGTCCGTTTTACACTAGAGTAAAAAAAAAAAATAGACAAGGTTCGGTTTACACGAGAGACGCTGTAATTTTTCATAACGAGAACGAGACACGGAGAAAGTAAGTACTAGTAATGAAGACATAGGTTCGATGTAACAGTCCTGAGTATACCTCAAATCCTGAATATACCCGGGGTTATTATAGGCTAATCTTCTTTGTACCATGGCTATCAGTTAGGATATGCCAGTTTATACCCCCGTATAAAAAGGAAACTAAACTAGCATATACTCTCTTAGACCAGAATATATCCTTTTTTTAAGCATTCAACCTCAAGCAAGACTGGAAGCCACTAGCACGCAAAGGGTTTCAGAATAGGAGCGAGAACAAAGAGGAGTGATAGAGGAAAGGATGAAGAGACGGTTAGGGGATAGATCAGGACATCTGGAGACGTCGATTGATGTTACATTTGAATAGTTGGAGATTATAGCTATCAGGGAAACAAGAAATGGGGAGGGAGTTACACAGGCGAGAAGTGCGAGACATGAAGCTATTGGAGTAGAAGAGACGGCTACGTTTAACAGTTTCGACAGTGAAAGGGTGAAAGAGGGATGTCAGCCTAGTTGAACGCTTAAATTCATGAAGTTTAGGAAACAGCGAAAGCAGTTCATCGGAGCAGTTACCGGGAAATGATCTGTAAAATAAGACATAGGGAGGCAACAGAACGTCTATGAGAGAGTGACTGCAGACGAGATGCCAGATCAGGGCCAATTATATTGCATATCCGTCTTTAATGCTCATCATATAATAATTATTTTATTGTATGCTCGTATGATAGTCAGGGAAACAATGGGCCATGCTTTGTCACATGTCTGCCAGAATTTTTTATTTGCATTCTACAGCTCTCAATTTGATACCGATTTCTTGGGTTGCACATAAATAAGTCTAACTTTTGGATACCAACTGATTTTGGCCAAAATGATTGAAATTAGGCCCTTATTTGTGACCGATCTCCGTTGTTTTGTATGTGAAGTCGACACACCACAATTTATTATGAACAAGTCTGTATATTCTAGAACACTACGTTCTGTCTACCCGATTTCGCATACATTACTTGGGCTAACCCGGTGTATGGTTTTCTAGAGCTTTCCAAAGGTTCTGTTTGCTGAGATTACCTCCCGTGGCCGATATAATAAAAAGTCACCTACTTGAAACTTTAGATTGAGATAACAATGAAGCAGAGATAAAGAATTTACAACGAAAATACAGGCCAATGAACCGTTTACTTAATCCGATCCCTTTATAGATTTTAGATGTTCAATGGTATCTATGATTCATTGATTACTCCTGGTGTAATATAAATAACTTTTTTCTGTCTATAGTCCGAATAATGTAAATGGTGTAAATAACATTTTGCTCGGTATCTTTTCATGTTAGAAATGTTATATGTTTAATATAACCGCGAATTAGAATTATCTCTCGGAAAAAAAAGATTAGCAACAAAATGAAAAAACACGTCGATGATAAAAGCTATTTCAAGACAAATGTGAAGCGAAACGATCACTTAATAGACAAAAGCATCTGAGTACCTCACATGAAAGGCTTGAAGAAATGAGACCGCAATCTAAGAAACGTATTAATAAAGGAACTGATTAATTAAACAGCTTATTTTGATCGGGAACTAATTTTGTCTAAATGCGGATATTTTATTTTTATGGATTACTGAAACGACAAAGTGAAGTAATCGCTCATAAATTTACTAGCTTATGTTGATTTACCGCCCTTACACTACATATGGGACAGGAAATATATAAAAATAAATACACATTGATCATTTTTATTTTGTTTGATAACGGTCAATTACATGCTTCCAAACACCCCCGTCTGCTAGTGCGATTAACCTGTCTCTGTTGAAAACGCCCGGTGAGGCACATTTGAGATTGTTCAACACCCACAGTACGCACCTGTTTTTTTTTGTATTGAAACTACGCTGAGCGGATCTTATTTACAGTTTCCGGGCGATGGGCACATAATCCGGCGTGATCAGCAGTTTGAACAAGGCCAGTTCACTCAAAACCCTCGGTCACAATGACTTGTTACATCGAGCTAGCGCGAATATCCACTCACAAGTCTTGTGTCAAACACGGGGCGTATTTTTCAAGTACTTCCCTACGGTGCCGCACCCTGGGATCGCCTCTCCATCCCGCCAATGTCAAGAAATTATCACCCTGACAAATCGACTGCAGTGAATTTCGAATCTAAAACCATCGACCACACACACACACACACACACACACACAGAGCTAAACTATATATCTATTTACTGCAGCCAAAAGTACAGCTGTATTTAAAAAAAAAAAAAAACAGATTTTGATAAAACTGCTGTTTCACTTAACTGTATCCAATAATAATGCATGTAATAATTACATATTAGTATCATATTATAAAATACAAACATAGCGAATATATTTTCCATTGTTTACGTTTATAAGATTAGCTGTTTGTCGTTCAGTTGTTTATGGCTGTACGTGTTTACGCAACGAGTATAGCGTTAATAACGATACTTTCATCATTCTATTTTGCCTTTTTAACTTATTTAACTAGAAGATGGGATAAAGAGGAAAAGAAGTTAGTCTATTGTAAGGTACTCGAATGATATACGAGGTACATGATAAAATCATTTTTATAAGTGAAACTTTGGGGGTCGCACGATACGTGAAATCGCGCGTTACATGAGTATACATGGTATATAGAATGCAGTATAAAACACATCTTATTTTTTCTCAGCGAATGTTTCCTCATTAAAAAAAATCCAAAAAAACAAAACAAAACAAAAAAAACCAAAAACTGGTGCCTCTATACTCTCCACGATTACAAAAGACTTGTATAGATAAAAAAAAAAATTCTCAAACATTTAAGCCGGTAAATGTAATTAATGATGTTTAATTAAAGAACAAATCATTGAGTCAAATAAGTTTTAGAAAATCACAGAAAATCCATTAAATATTAATTAATAATTAATTAATTAAGTCATTTCATATCATATATATATATATATATATATATATATATATATTCTTAATAGAAATCTTATAAGTTTAAGAAACTATACTCGCTCGGAAAAGCTTCGGTGTATTGATCTGCAAATAAACAAGCCAATACCAAAGGGGAAACAAGGTATAAAAAAGAAAGAACCAAGAACATGTACGTTAAACGAAAATAATCGTCCAGCATACGAGTTCAAAGCCCAAAGAAAAAAAAACCCGATGCGAGTACGCAAAACAACTAATTAAAGTGCTCAATACAATGAGTAGATCAGACCTAGTTAAACCTAGAGAGCTAGACAAACCTTTGTCTGGCTCTCTAGGTACACTATATATATATATATATATATATATATATATATATATATATATAATGTAAGTAAAAAGGATTGTCACTTAGCTGATTGATGTTGCCTTCAGCATCACTACTAC